TCGGCGAAATTTTCTGAGGCTAGGTACTTTTCAGACGGAAATGGCCCAAAACCATTCAGACGGAATGCCCCAAATTTTGACATTTTAGTATCTGGGCTTAGTAGGGATTCTCCGGGGTCCTTCTCTCGCCCTCTCTCTCCCTCTCTCGGCGGCCCCGTGTCCCAGTCTCTTCTCGTCATTGTCACGTCCCGCCATCGTCGCATCGCCGCCACGCCCTCAGGTTGCCACAGATTTCGGTAGAGAGCATGTAACATCCCGCCAATCCCCAGTATTGCCCCAGTACCTCACCTCAGGCTAGCACTCGTCCATTAACATTCCAAACAAAAAACGCGTACGGCACCGTGGGGAAATGGGGGCACCGCGGATCGAACGCGGGACCTTCAGAAGTCAAACCTGGCTTTGGGCGCGGCTTCAGTCTGCTGCTCTCCCAGCTGAGCTATGCCCCCCGTTGCCCTTAAGCCGGATCCCCCTACCACAGGTTCTAGATCTGCGGTGTTATTCTCTTGACGTTTTGATACACTCTATGTATATATCAGCGTCTCCTGGGCCGCACCTCTTCCAACTCACGCCACCACTCAAAACTTAAATGCCGATATTACTATCACGGGCCCCACGGGTTGAACGCGGCATGACAGTTAATACCCAGACGCTCGCTCCCAGCCTTACTCCCGTAACACCCTCTCTTGATAAACATCATTTATATGTTTAGTACATCCAGAGACCAGGACCCCGATACACTACTACGATCCCAAAAGTCTGTACGTACAAGGGGATTAAACATAGGGGGGGGAACTTTGTGGCTGCATGATTACTAACGACGCGCCGGATGGAACGCGCACGTCTCCTTCCCTACCTCGCCTTACATCACACCACCTCACGGGTTCCTTACGACCACCGGCGGGTAGTATACACACCCTTCTCCCATTCTACCGTGGGTTTTTCCTTCGAAGAGTACATCCCCGGGAGTCATCACAGAAGGCTGAAGGCCAAAACAGTATTTATCGACAGATATTCATGCAGCTCGATGTAAGTTGCAACAACACTACACATTCACCTACGATCACCAGCGTAGACGCATCCTATGTGCTGAGGGTGAGGCCCCCGGAGGACCGAGAATACAGAACATCAAAAAAGCTGTCCTATCCCCCATTGGAGGCGCCGTGGGTCGAACACTGCTCTCCCCTTTCCAGCAAATTTCTGACGCGCGCCGCATGTTACAATAACACTAAGCACCTTTCTATTGTTGCAAGCGGGATGATACCACTAATTATAACAAGGCATGCCCACGAGCCACGCGAGGCCAAAAATAACCCACTGCCAACACGGGAGGTGTCTTAGATCGAACACGACTAAACTCAGGAGTACTGATACATGTTATAAGTTTCAACACTGTTACGCACATTTCTTGCCCATAACTATTATCCCTGCACATGTCCAAGATATCAATAGATACACTTCCAACGAATGATGCACACCCCGGGACTAGCACGGCAGGCCAAAACTATGCCAGTATTTAAGACGCGTGGGAGGTACCACGGGGCGAACGCGCCCGTCCCTCATCCTATCACTCGCGTGTACACAATAGCAACTCTATGTATAGTTTATTTGACAACTTTGATCCCACACGGACATAGCCCCACTGTCCACATATACATCCCGTTGGCAACATATCGAAAGTGATGTGAACTGAGCTCAGTGATCTTGTACTCAGGCGCTCCGCGGGTCAAACGCAGCCGTCCCACTCTCACACTTTTATCGATTGTGCGTTGTAGGTAGCAGCATCGCTAAACACCTTTTAGTAAGTAGTACTAGTCTTGAAGACGGTAACATTCAACCTCGTTCAACATGCATCCAATCGATTTAGTTGAAAAAGGCCATGTGCATTGTCATAAACCGAGCCTATACAAATCAGCGCAAAATCTTGCAAAGTCGTGGACAAAAGAAGGATCCGATCCAGTAGTATGAGAGACCAAGGAGAGTACGACACGGTAATTTGGTGATGGAGGAGGAGGAGATACGGACATGGTCCCCAATTGGAACGATCAGTTCACGTGGACTCGGAAAACCTAGTTGTAACTACGTGGGTAATTCATTTTATGTAGTCCATTGCACCTTTCCACGGTACACACACGAGTTCAAGTTGAAAACTGGTGAGTGGCTGTACACCCAAACCCGTACAACCTGACCGGATTGAGAGTCCCAACTTCGGATCCGATCCAGTAGTATGAGAGACCAAGGAGAGTACGGCACGGTAATTTGGCGATGGAGGAGGAGGAGATACGGACATGATCCCCAAGCCCATCGACGATCTGTCTAACTCGATCTCATCAAAGAACCGTGGAAGTGGGATCCTCCACTCTCACAGGATCTGGGTTAACCAATATTGACGACTGGTCACTGGGCCAACTGTAGACCCCCATATATGGTAAGGGGGGATGACCGACGTGATGAGTCTGTCTGGCTCTGTCTGGGAGAGACTATAATTATGCTGCCACGGAGTCTGCATCTGACACCAGAGTAGTCGAAGCTTCCAGTCAACATCGAATCCTTTTAAGAGGATCCGGAGAGGATGGAACTCAGTACTCAGTACCAGCCAGTGGTAACACTTGTTATATCACCTCTTGAAGTTGGATATGGCTACCCCCACACATACCCATGCCCAGGTGCTGCCAACACGAAGTTCAACACGAGATTCGGTGAGTGTCTCGTCAATGACCTGCAAATTATTTCTGGGATCATTCAATAACAGCGACAGACTTCTGGAAGCAATCTATCTAACAAGCTCGACATCGAGAAGTTAAAGCCCACCAAGTCGACGCATTTTCGGGAGGTCCGTTCTTCATATCTCTATCAATTCATTAACTGCGACGAACAGTGATCATGAACAGATTGACGTCATTGGAGATCAGAAGACGGCGAAGGAGGATATTCCGGAATGTGAGTCTATTCTTCTATTGAGTGTTCTTGATGATTAATTAGCTGTGACTATAGACTTCGGTGAGCAGGACTACCGTGAGGGTGTAGGTGATGTATATTCAATGGCCGTTTATATACGACACAGCAGCTGTTGAACGCCCTCCGGGGAGAAATATCGTGGTCAATACACTCGATTATGACAACAACAAGCCAACAAATGGAACGATACAGCGCTCTGACACTATCCCGCGGGCTCAAACACCATCTTCTTTGGTCGACCTCCGTCGCTACGACTCGTCGACAATAGGTGATCCTGCAAAATGGCTGAAGGAGAGCTACGACCATCTCCTCAATCATCTGGCCCAATCAAGGTCGGACCGTGTGATACGAAAGGAGTGTTCTGACTGGATCTGTAGCTCGATGCCATTCGCAGTATGTTCCACTACGTGATCTTGATATGTTATCCCGACCGCTTTTATTGTTTCGTAGCGTTTCGCGCTCTATTTGTACGACACTACAGGCGACTTGGAAGCATTACGCGCTGTTGTTGCTATATGCAAAGATTGCGATATTCTCAAAGCGTTATGCCGATTCAGAGAGACGATGGTCGGGCTTCGCCGCTGCTTCAATATAGATCTCACTCATACCAACCTTGAGGTCATGACGAAAATATTGGTTCTCGATGTGGACGTGATTTGTGCGCGACTCTATGGTCTTGTGAAAAATGAGGAGCAATACAGGCGCCTGGTACATCTACAGGGAAACGAAGCACATTTGTTGCTTGACCTGATGCAAAAAGTATGTTCTTTCTCGATGGCCTCTCTGTAGTAGACAACTTAACAAGTCTCTGTTTCGCAGTTGCTCGACCTTCCCTCGCTGGATAGGATGTTCAGAGGTCCGTTCTTGAACGCGATGCTTCGACTTTCTCGTCAGTCGAAGCTGTTTCCTGAAGGTCTTTGGCAAGAACAAGTATCTATTGAAGGGAACGAAGCACTCACTGCAGGAACATTTGGAGAAGTATGGAAGGGTGTATATCGTGGACAAGAGGTGGCGGTCAAAGTTTTGAGAGTATATCAGAAGTCTGATCTTGATGATCACAAAAAGGTGTGCTTGACTTTTGTTCCAACACTTCTGCTTCCTATCCAATTATTGTCTGTTAGAAAGTTATCCAAGAGACGCTTATCTGGCGACAGCTACAACATGTCAATGTGCTTCCGTTTTTGTGTCTTTATCGCGTAAACAACAATGAACGGCGCATTGGACTGGTCTCCCCGTGGATGAAGAACGGAAATATGAAAGAGTTTCTGCACCGCAGTCATGATATCGACCGGACCGCACTTGTAAGCAGGCGGAAACAAGTTGCCACTCGACATTGACACGATCTCTTATTCAGGTTGCTGATATCGCAGAAGGCCTGAATTATCTCCATAACCTGGGACCCAAAATTATCCATGGAGATCTGAAAGCGGTAATTGCTCTATCTTCTGTGCAATGGGGCACTAAGTTTGACGTTGACTTTAGGTAAACATCTTGATTTCAGACGTGTATCGCGCATGCATCGCGGACTTTGGTCTTTCTACAGTATCAGAATCCCAGGTCAGCTGGGGTGCAATGTTCTCTCCCATTATCTCTGGCGGGACCACTCGGTGGACGGCTCCGGAATTATTGAAGGGATCCGAGAAGGTCTCCAACGTGCAGACCGATGTATATTCGTTTGCAGTTGTGTGCTACGAGGTGAATACATTTACCCCAAACCCTATATCCACTTACACTTCGCTGGTCAGATCTTCTCGTGTGGCATCCCATTCCCAGACCTCGATCCATATCCAATCATGTTGGCGGTCATTGAAGGCCGGCGCCCTGCACGTCCTAGGCAATGCGAACACTGGAAGACGCCATGCCTAGAGTTAGGCCTCGATGACAAGCTGTGGGGGCTCGTCGAGCGCTGTTGGGACGCGGATCACAGACGCCGGCCTAGTATGAATGCTGTTTTACAGGAACTTCCGCCAAGACAGCATCACACTCCGGCAGCAGCTGTGGATGACCAGCACTTTAAGGTGTCCAGTGAAGGACTATGGGATGAACTCATCACCGCCGTCTGAAACGGAGAGCAGGAATTTCCTCCATTATGGCTTGCCAGGGCCCAGGTCGTGCGAACTGGGTGGTCACCGGAGGGATACCAGACTTGTTTTATTTTGTTTATACTCACAGCGCCCCAGCTTATGTGTCCAAGGCTGGGATTCAGCTTGTTTGACATACCCTACTACTGTACTTAGTATCTGTTGTCAAGTCAATAGAATGATCAGGCCTTGCATGTTTTCTCAATTTCTCCTTGATTGTCGAAAGTTAGATCAATGGGGTTTTACTATTGTTACAATTTTTCGAGAGAGAAGTCACCACTGCTCTCAGATTTGCTCAGGTACAAATAGTGTCCAGACGTCGTTCAACTGCCTGCCATACGAAAACTTTGAAGTAACAAAGGTAACTAGAGGTAATGAGAATCCGTATAATTGTCATCAGGAAACGTGAG